AGGGCCAATGAGCTAATCAAGGCTCCTCTCGTAGGCAGGGAAAACTGAAAGAGCTGAGAAGCCTGAGTTTTCTGAGAGGTGGGGGTGGAGGTGACTGGAAATGGAATTCAGAGCTCCCGGAATCGACCCCAGATGGTCAGAGTGTGACCTTACCTTGTCTAATCACTGCCCACATTTTATAAAGAATAAACACAGTCCAGAGGTTTGTGGTTTGTCCGAGGCTGCCCAGCCAATCAGTGGCAGAGCTGGGCCCAGAACTCAGGCCTCCCGGCACCACGGCTCAGCCTCAAGGTTTCGGAAGGCCAGACCCGACTCTTCTGAGAGCAGTGTTGTCCCCGAGAACTTCCTGTTGATGGCAATGTCCTAATCCACCCTGTTCAGCATGGTGGTTACCAGCCACATGGGGCTCGTAAGCACCTGAAATGTAGCTATCGTAAGCACCTGAAATGTAGCTATTGTGGGTGAGGAACTGAATTTTAAATTTTACTTAATTTAAATTTAAATAGCCCTAGGCAGTTTGGCTCAGTGGATAGAGTGTCCGCCTGCAGACTGAGGGGCCCTGGGTTCGATTCCAGTCAAGGGCACCAACCTCGGTTGTAGGCTCCCAGCCTTGGTCGGGGCGCATGCAGGAGGCAACCAATCGATGTGTGTCTCTCACAGCCATGTTTCTCTCTCTCTGTCTTTCCCTCTCTCTTCCACTCTTTCTAAAAATCAATGGAAAAATATCCTCGGTGAGGATTAAAAAAAAGTTAAATAGCCACATGCGGTTAGTAGCTACTATATTAGACAGGGCAGCTCTAGAGCTGGAAACCGTTGGTTTTCTTGGAAAAGGAGTAGAGCCCGGCTGGTGTGGCTCAGTGGTTGAGTGTCGACCTATGAACCAGGAGGTCAGGGTTCAATTCCTGGTCAGGGCACATGCCCAGGTTTTGGGCTCGATCCCCAGTGGGGGACATGGAGGAGGCAGCTCCTCAATGATTCTCTTTCATCATTGATTTTCCCATCTCTCTCTCTCTCCTTTCCTCTCTGAAATCAATAAAAAAAAAAAATACATACATATATATAAATTTTAAATATATTTTTCTAGTTTTACTGAGAATCAAGGCCAAAACCCAGGCATGTGCCCTGACAGGGAATCAAACCATGACCTTCTGGTTCATAGATTGATGCTCAACCACTGAGCCACTCTGGCCAGGCAATAAAAAATATATTTTTTTAAAGTTGCCATAAGCCTCTTGGTAAATAAATCTTTGCATGTGTTCTCAATAATTTAATTAGAATAGGTTCCTAATGAAACAAAGGGTGGGCATTATTTTGGAATCTTCTGACACATCCTGCCCAATTGCCCCTGAGCAAGGTTAGAGCTGCCCTTGGATGGTGTTCGAACATTCGCACGCTGTGCACTGTCCTTGGTGCTGAGGGTTCGGCAGCTCTGCTCGTGGCACTCAGTCTGGCTGGGGGAGGGCAGGGTCTAATAGAGTGGATGGTGGCAGATGCTAAGGAAACGCTAACGAAGGGTGAAGCCATGACATGAGAGAGTTGCTTTATAGCAGGTGGTCAAGGGGGCCTCTCCTATAATGACATTAAAACAGAACCCTGAAGTGTTGATGCCCAGTTCCCCAACCCTAAGTATCATCACATAATTCAGTTTAGAGATGAAGGGTCTTATTGTTATGTCCTTTTGAGAATTTATTAAGCACCCACTATAGTCTGGATGCTGGAAAGAAAACAAAGCATTCAGTCAGCGGACTAGATAGAGTTAGGGTCTAGACCCGTGGTCGGCAAACTGCGGCTCGCGAGCCACATGCGGCTCTTTGGCCCCTTGAGTGTGGCTCTTCTAAGCCTTAGGAGTACCCCAATTAAGTTAATAACAATGTACCTACCTATATAGTTTAAGTTTAAAAAATTTGGCCCTCAAAAGAAATTCCAATCGTTGTACTGTTGATATTTGGCTCTGTTGACTAATGAGTTTGCCGACCACTGGTCTAGACTCAGCTCTCAAGAAATGCTGAGTCCCTCAAACTCATGGAAGAGCTCATCCTCGCTGGTGAGGTCGGTGTTTGAATGGGCAATTGGCCTCATCATCAACTTCTGGCTTGGGCCTTGGGCCTTCTGACCCTCAATTATCCCCTCGGTAAAAAGAGGAAATACTCTCCTTTTTCCCTTATGAGTTTGAATTATTTAAACGTATAAACGTGCCTGACACATGGCCTTGCTCTTGTTCATCTGGCTTAAGTCAGCCCTGACAGCACCTCCCACAGCAGCGGCTCTCAACCTGTGGGTCGCGACCCCTTTGGCGGTCGAACGATCCTTTCACAGGGGTCGCCTAAGACCATCCTGCATATCAGATATTGACATGACGATTCATAACAGTAGCAACATTACAGTTATGAAGTAGCAACGAAAATAATTTTATGGTTGGGTCACAACGTGAGGAACTGTATTTAAAGGGCCAGGAGGTTGAGAACCACTGCCCTAGAAGGTCTTATACTCAGTGATGCTGCCCTTGTTTACAACTCTGCTTGTCCAAGGGCATACGGCCATTAGCTAGCCAAGACAGGGCCACGCTGCCTTGAGGAAGTCGTTAGTAGCCCCCACGGCTCCAGGAGAAGCCTGGGAGTTGCTCTTGTGTCGCCTGAGTGTCCTAAACCTGCCCTTAATAATGCGTTTTCCTTTTTGCTGATGAGTTTGTGTCCTGAGAGTAAAGCACGGCAAGTCTTTTTGCCTCTGCCTCTCCTGACCTGGATGTCTCTCAAGCAAGGAAGGGGTGGGAGATGCTGGGCGAATTCTGCCCCCTCTGCTTCCTTTCGGGGACCTGACTGGTGCAAGAACCACAAAGCTGGGCTCCTGAGAAAGAAAAGGTGCAAAAGGGGCACCCTGGGGTGGCTTTTGGCCCTGACCTGGTTCATCCGCTCTTAGAACCAGATTGGACTCTGGCATTAGACTATAGACTTAAATACCGTCTATAAAACTTACTAAACTTCTTGTGCCTTGTTTGTTCATCTGTAAAATGGGAAAACAATAGTATCTGACTCCCAGGGATGTTAAAGGTCAAGTAGTTGGTACCTGCTGGCCATGGTAAACCAGCAATTAATTAGCTATTCTCATCAACACAGTGTGGGTACTGGGTCAAGTGAGAGCTATTTGGGGGAAGTTCAGTGGAAAAAGTTGGGGGGGGGGGGTGGGCGCAGAGAGAATAAGACTGAACTTTGGAGGATGAACTCTCTTATATCTTCCTAGGGGACATGTTTCCCTCAAATTATTTTCTCAACTTCACTTTGACAATTTGAGAGTCACAGAGAAGTGGCACCAACTCCCATGTATACTTCACTTAGATCCCCTAAATCTTAAATCGACCACATTTGCTTTATCCTTTTCTCTCTAAGTACAATATTTTTTTCGGAACCATTTGAGAGTAAGCCACAGTTATGATGCTCCTTTACCCCAAAATGGAATGTGTATTTTTTTAAACCCAAGGACATTCTCCTATGGAACCAAGGTTAAGTAATCAGAACGAGGGCTTTAAATTAACATGGATACATTGTGAAGTCTAGACGTCATTCAGATTTTGTCAGTTACCCCAAAAATATGCTTCACAGCAAAAGAAAACCAGGATCATGTGTTGCGTTCAGTGGTCTCTTGATTCCAAGGTTTTTTGTGTTGTTTTTTTTAAAAATATATATTTTATTGATTTTTTTACAGAGAGGAAGGGAGAGGGATAGAGTTAGAAACATTGACCAGCTGCCTCCTGCACACCCCCTACTGGGGATGTGCCCGCAACCAAGGTACATGCCCTTGACTGGAATTGAACCTGGGACCCTAGATTCTGCAGGCTGATGCTCTATCCACTGAGCCAAACAGGTTAGGGCTGATTCCAAGGTTTGAAGCAGCCCCTCTTTTGGCTCTGCCCTCTCCTGGAGGTCTGGCTGAGGCCCCTTTTGCACCTTTTCTTTCTCAGGAGCCCAGCTTTGTGGTTCTTGCACCAGTCAGGTCCCCGAAAGGAAGCAGAGGGGGCAGAATTCGCCCAGCATCTCCCACCCCTTCCTTGCTTGAGAGACATCCAGGTCAGGAGAGGCAGAGGCAAAAAGACTTGCCGTGCTTTACTCTCAGGACACAAACTCACCAGCTCTGGGTGAGCCATTGGCTGCTTGAAGGAGGAGGCTCAAAGGGAGGCCTTCTCCCTCCGCTCTCAGACCAGCTTCCCAGAGTGCCCTTTTGTCCCAAAGGATGGAACAGAGACATCTAGGGGCCTCTATCTCCCATCTAGCGAGGAGAGAAGGGGATTGTGGCAGCATAAGAAAGCGGCTTGGCTCCTTTCCCACCGAAGTCTTCTAAGTTCTTCTTTCCCCATTGGTTCCTGTTAAAGGAACTGGCTGACTCAAGGTCAGCTCCTGCCTGGGATATCGATCCTGGTAACCTCTTGGGTCCTGCTGCTAAGGGTCTAGTGTAAGTCAGGGAGCCCTCTTACAGTCAGGATTGGAGACCTCATCTGTCAGAGACTGACCTATAAGCAGTCTTGGTGTCTGCAGGTGACCCTCTCTTCGTTGTATACCATGTCTAATACTTTTTGGGGGGTTGCTTGGATACAGTAGGGTTATAGTAATAACAAGAGTAACCACGTATTGTGGACTTACTATATGCTCTACACAGTTACCTCATTTAATGTTCACAATATCATGTGCCCATTTTAAAAATAAGGAAGGAGGTCTAATTAGTAAGCTGTCCAAGAGCATATAGCTATTGGCTAGCCAAGACAGGACCACATCTGCCTGTCTTCACAGCTCAGGACTCAAGCCACTCTGTTCTAACTGTGTAAATGTCATTTTTTGCAGAATAACTTATCGGCTTTAAATTTGTGTGATTGATTTAATGCAGTTCTGGCTGTCTCTTCACGCAAGACCCACCAGGTCCTGAGACTGGACCAGCGGAGGAGGAGGGCCGGGAAGCCCAAGTAAAACCCAGTCCGGAAGCTGGTGGTCCGCCAGAGTTGCCTGCAGTTGCTAGCAGTGCCCACGAGGGGGCAGCCGGCGCTACGCCTCGCCTCTCTCTCCCCCTCTTCTCTCTGGTTAGCGTGGGAAAGAGCCCGCCTCCTGTCCCATAAGGCCCTGCACCGGAAACTTCACTCTCTCTTCCTGTCTCTCATCATGGCGGTGAGTATCCCAGGCCCGGGTTAGCTTCCCTTCATCCGCCTCCATCCACGGCCGGCCGAGCCCCCGAGGGCTGCCTCGCCCGCAGCCCGAGGAGGACGGAGCCGTCGCTGCTGGCCGTCCCGAAACTTCGGAGCCCCGCGGGCCGAGAGCGCGGAGCCGGCCCCCGGCGCCTCCCTCACGTCCTCCTCAGAGCGAGCTGGGGCAGCCGCCCGGAGGCCCCGAAGCACGGGCCGTGGGCTGCAGCGAGAGCGAGCGGCTCGAACGAAGGGGTCCGCACCTGTTTCCGGTCCCGGGGACCTGGGGCTTGGCCGGTGCTGGGGAACCTCGGCCGGGACCTCCACACGGGAAGGGCCGCCGGCCTTTTGCCACGGTCTCGGCGCTGCTTCCGAGTGGGATGGGGGACGCGGCGCTAGCACGTGCTTCCCGTTTCCTCAGCAGTTAAATTCTGTATTTCCTTTCCCCTCATCGGCCTTATAATGGGGCGCTCCCCGTCACCCTGCATGTTGAGTCCCTGGGGGTTCCTCCTCGGTGTCTGTAACCTCGGGACCTGCCCGACGTTTCCGTTCCCCTCTTCCGCGCGTGGAGGAAGGAACAAGTCCCCGAGCTGTCTGCCCCGACAGTTGCTCAGTCCTTAGGGCTTCCGGTGGGAGGTGGGCTGAGCAGAGAGAAACGTGCTATGTATGGGAAGAGCGCTCGCAGCCGGGGCGGGCCGCGCGTGTGGTGACCGCCGCGCCCGCCGTTCACAGCAGGATCAAGGGGAAAAGGAGAACCCCATGCGGGAGCTGCGCATCCGCAAGCTCTGCCTCAACATCTGCGTCGGGGAGAGCGGGGACCGACTGACGCGGGCAGCCAAGGTCCTGGAGCAGCTCACGGGCCAGACCCCGGTCTTCTCCAAAGGTGAGTGGCGGCTCGCGGGGGGCTGGAGGCCGGTCTCCGCCAAGCCTTTTGAGCGCCCCATTTTGGAAGTGACGGATGACATCCCTTAAAAGCATTAACTTTTTGGCCTAACCCGAGAAATACCTTCCTTTTAGGGTTGGTTGTGGCGTTTGGACCACAAGGTTTTACTGTGAGCGGAGATTAGGTCTGGCCCAAGCAAAGGTTTTCCAAGAAAGGGAGCGGGCGGAGGGGAAGTGCTGGGGAAGCGGTGAACGGCACTAGGCCTGGTCAGCAGTAGGGTTATATAGGCGACACTGAACAGCGTCAGGTTGTGTTGCTTTCTGATAGTGGAATATGGCAAGTCCTTGGGTTCGCATCCCGCCGCTTATTGCCAACTGCGATCTTGGACAAGTTCGTCTCTCAGAACCTCATCTGTGAAATGGGGATGACAGTCCAATAAGGTTTTGGCAAACATTAGCTATTGTTGCCCTAAAATGTTTTGTTTTTTTTGTAGAACACAATGGTCACCTTCCTTTCTAGGGGCCTGTTCTGGTTGTGAACTTACCTCCCAGAGACCTTGACATTACGACTGAGCTCTTAATTGCTTAAGTGTGGCTGAGTGACTTGGGGTGGGAAAAGTCCTGTGTTTCCGTGAAACCAATGAAAAGATGTAGGTGGCACTGGCTAACGACCACCACTCAGAGTGTGGATAGATCCTTAATATCTCTTTGGAGTCGGGGAGGTGATGTTCTGGGGAACAGGCAGTGGGAGTATGACAACCCCTGACTCCCTGTTCCCCCTGCCCTGCAGCCAGATACACCGTCAGGTCCTTTGGCATCAGGAGAAATGAAAAGATTGCTGTCCACTGCACAGTCCGTGGGGCCAAGGCAGAAGAAATCTTGGAGAAAGGTCTAAAGGTGAGGCCCATCCTAGCATGGGGTGATGCTACCGAGCACCAGTTTAACACATGTACCTTCTTTTAAGTGTCAGTAACATATAACTTTGTATTAGTTTCATGTGTACAGTATGCTATTTATTGAAATTATCACAATAAACCTGATTGTCACTGTACAACATTAAAAAATAATTTTTTCTTGTGAAGAGAACTTTTAAGATTTACTGTTAGCAACTTTCAAAAATGCAACACAGTATTATTAACTATAGTCATCATGCTGTATGTTACATCCCCATGACTTTTTTATAACTGGAAGTTTGTCCCTCTTGACCCTCTTAACACATTTCTCCCTTTCTCTCTCTCTCTCTCTCTCTCACACACACACACACACACACACACACACACACACACACACACCAATCTTTTTTTGGCATCTAGGAGTTTTGTTTTTTAGATCCCATCTGTAAGTGAAATGATGGTGTTTCTTTCTCTGTCTGATTTATTTCATTAGCATAATACTCTCAAGGTCCTTGGCATTATTGCAGATGTCAAGATTTTTTTTTTTATGGCTGAGTAGTAGTCCATTGTATGTGTATATATACCACATATTTATCCATTCATCCCCTATTGAGCAACTTAGGTTGTTTTCATGTCTTGGCTATTGTAGATAATGCTATAGTGAACATAGGGTTGGGTGTGTCTTAATTTTTTGGGAAACCACCATACTGATTTTCTTTCTTTTTTTTTTTAATATATTTTATTGATTTCTCACAGAGAGGAAGGGAGAGGGATAGAGAGTTAGAAACATCGATGAAAGAGGAACATCGATCAGCTGCCTCCTGCACACCTCCTACTGGGGATGTGCCCGCAACCAAGGCACATGCCCTTGGCTGGAATCGAACCTGGGACCTTTCAGTCCGCAGGCCGATGCTCCATCCACTGAGCCAAACCAGCTAGGGCCACCATACTGATTTTCATAGTGGCTGCACCAATTTACATTCCCACCAACAGTGCACAAGAGTTCCCTTTTCTCCACATCTTGACAACACATATCTTTTTTATAATAGCCATTCTGCCTGGTGTGAGATGTTATTCCATTGTGGTTTTGATTTGCTTTTCCCTAAAGAGAGGAAGGGAGAGAGAGAGAGAGAAAAATAATTTGTTGTTCGATCTATTCATGCACTCATTGATTCTTGTATGTGTCCTGACTGAGGATCGAACCCGCAACCTTTGTGTAAGGGTCGACACTCTGACCAACTGAGCTGCCCAGCCAGGGTCATCTGTATGTCTGAACTTCTAAAGGATTATTCCTGCATTTGGCAGAGTTAAACTATACTCTTGATGTTTCCTGGGGGTTTTCCCTGCCCTTGGAAAGTTGGGAAAGTTCTGTGAAATCCATAGTTGGGATGTGATTTGGTGTAGTGGGGAAACCAGATTTTGTTTCTGATCAAATTGTATTTCTGGGGCGCTGTTACAAGCCAAGTTCGTTATTTTGGGGGGATTTGAGTTGACAAGGAGTGTGATTGGCTACATTTATCTCCGCAGGTGCGAGAGTATGAATTACGAAAAAATAACTTCTCAGATACTGGAAACTTTGGTTTTGGGATCCAGGAACACATCGATTTGGGGATCAAATATGACCCAAGCATTGGTATCTACGGCCTGGACTTCTATGTGGTATGAATATTTGGTCTTTTCCACTTCTTCTCTGGGAGGAGCATGGAATGGGCTACTCCTTCATTTCATGTGTGCTATTCTGATGTGCAGGTGTTGGATTGAAACTTTGAGTGTTGTCTGCCTTTATCTTCTTTCCGTTTGGAAGATGTGCCTCATCTGTGCCCTGTTTAGGGTGCAGCACTGAACTAGGCAGACAAGGTCATTGCTCCTGTGAAGCTTAAAGCCTAGGATCTGGCAACCACCAGTGTGGCTGTGAGATGGAGGGAGAGGCAGTGTTGGCCAGCCACTGAATTGAAAGTTTGAGAGCGAGTGTTGGGCGCCTCATTTGGCATTTGGGTTGGCTGCACTGAGGCTGCTCTTTCCAGTCCTTCCCTTAGCCCCTGCGGGAGGGTGGCTTCCATCCAGAGGGCAGGTTTGGTGAGGTGGTTGGTTTGTCTCAGGTGGGGATTTCAACGTAGGAATGACCATTTGTGTTACTGTTACTGCTTTGGTCCAACCATCAAACTAAATATTAGCAAAACCAGAAGTCCTGACTGGTGTGGACCCTGAATGATGGCAGCACCCTTGTCGGATGAGCTGGATATCCAAACAGCAATGAGAATCAGGTGCTCGTCGGGAGTCAGGAAACAGCAAACCTAATTTAAGAAAGACTTTTTGCTCTGAAGTGGAAGGAGAGAAATAAAACTCCTTCTTTGTAACTTCTCAGGATTTTAAATTCTCTACAGTACACATGTAGTAAGGTGGTTCTTAATACTGCTTTTAAAAATTAAAAGTGCTTTGGAAATTGGGAAGCAGTGGTGGCAAATCCTTAGCTGCCACTGGAAGTGAGGTAGGGAAGAGGGAAGGTGCAGCCACGTTCCGCCCTCCAAAGCAAGCCTGTGGTGTGTGTGGTGGTGTGTTGTCCCGGGTGCTGGTACCAGTTCCATCAGTTCCAGGATTGCTGGGCCACCAGGTGACTCTTGAAGATCGATCTCTCCGATGTGTGGGTCTTGTCTGTCTGCCGTTGACTCTGAGCTGGCGAGGTGACTGTTGGTTATTCCTGGGACAGGTGCTGGGTAGGCCAGGTTTCAGCATCGCAGACAAGAAACGCAGGACAGGCTGCATTGGGGCCAAACACAGAATCAGCAAAGAGGAGGCCATGCGCTGGTTCCAGCAGAAGGTAACGCTGACTTATCCCAGGTGGAATGGTGGAAGGCGGTGAGTGGAGTTGGGATTTGGGGATGCAAAATCTACCACCAATTGGTGGGTAGCTTCTTTGAAGATAGAATATTTGAGCAGCTTGGTAAGTGGGGGCTTCCAGGGTTAATGGTTTAAAAGAACACCCAGAATTGGGGCTCTTCTCCACCTCCATGAATGCTGATAGCTCGGAGGGTGGGAAAACGGCTCTCCTAAGAGCCCCCTTTTTCTTGGGGGATGTAGTGCAGTTGAGCACAGTGTAGCAGTTGTTAAAACTGGCCCGTTTCTGTTTAGTTCAGAATGGGTATGGGATTCAGAGCCAAATTCATGTATCAGATTTGACTTCTCAAATGAAACGTTAGCCATTGCTGCAATCTTTGCTGTTGCCTCCTGTTCTGAAAAAAAAATAAATCTCTTCTCTTTCAGTATGATGGCATCATCCTTCCTGGCAAATAAATTCCCGTTTCTATCCAAAAGGCCAATAAAATGTTTTCAGTGAAATGTACGTTACTGTGTGTGTTCTGTGAAAGGAGCCTGGCCATATTCAAGTCCTTGGACCTCAAGCCATTAAAGCTTCGATGGGAATAGCTGGTAACACCCCTGTCTTCCCGAGTGGATGCCATTGTTTCCTGGCAGGTCTAAGCCTGAGCTGTACAGCATTGCCTGTGCTCGCCACAGCCTTGTTGATAAGCTGTGGTGCCGTAGTCACAGGAGGCTGGTTTTAGCGGGGAAGGTACGATTGGGGCTGGGGTGAGAGCCTTGATTAAAGGTAGGGTGCAGTGTTTCCATGTTTCACTCAGTGATTCTGCTCTTCCCTAGAGATTTTACTAACACTGATGCTGGTGAAGGGATTACAGGCTCTGCATGATGCTTGGGATTAAATTTTGGTTTAACCGTTCAGACTCAGTTTTCCTTTAAAATGAGAGTCTATAAGGTTGTTAAGAGGCAATATAAGTGGCGAAGAGGTGGCCTTTGAAACAAGTTTCCTGGATCGATTCCCACCGTCTGCTAGGTGTGTTAGCCTTAAGCAAGTTAATCTCTGCCTCAGTTTTCTCATCTGTATCATGGAGGCAATAATAGTAATGTCCCTCAGAGGCTAAAAGGGGTTAGTACTTGTAGGGTGTCTAGACTTGTACCAGGCACGTGGTGCTCAAAAAGGGATAATTTTGTGTTAATGTATGAGAAATGTTTCTCATAATCAGTTTGCCCCCCTTTTAGTGTGAAAGTGGAACTTCCTTGCCTGCATATTTCCAGGTCACTGAAGTGACATTCAAAAGCCACCATTTCTAACTTTTACTCTCTTGTGACTAACAAGTTCAGTTGTCCTTGGACCACCTTTCATTGCTGTTCATGGTGCTGTAATGTTAGCTGTCTTTCATAGGTATTTTAAAACCCAGAGATTATTTAGTGTGTCCAGTTTTTTATGAAAATGTGACATTTTGTCTTCCTGATAATAAAGTCTTCTTACCCAATAAGACCAGATCCAGTTGGCTACAGGGAAGAATCACGAAATGTGTTGCCATATACATTTTATTTCATTTAAAATATAAATGTGCAACCACTTTTCAATCTTTTACTGTAGGGCCAGGGCTATCACCTTGTAAACAGAAAGAACTTATGAAGGGGTCTTGATTCTTGTAATTCAGCCTCACTTTTATAGGGGAGCCTCATTCATTTTAACTTCTGTAATTCTAGTAACAACTACTGGAATGAATATTTTTTAGAACAGACTTCTTGGTGAATAGCTAAGGTGTTGGGTGCTAGCTGCTATGGGAAGTTGCATGTTGTGCAGAGGAGATGGAGAGCATTTGCTAGTTTCATCTAAAAGCACTTCAGAAATATGGACAGTGGAAGTCCCTCTACTGCTGTCCTTGTGCATGTTACTGATAGTACTTTGCTGTTTGCTGTGTATCTATGTTTTTATGTTTGTATTACTATTTAATTTTAACAGTATAAACCTGCCTACCCTTCATTTGGTCCTGCCGTATTCTCAGTTGAGTTAATTTCTCTGTTTTAAAATTAAACTTCCTGGGCTCCTGGCTCATTGAAAAAATAACTCTTGGGAGTTCAGAGATCTAATTGGGTTTTAGTGCTGGCTCTAGCTATATTTTAAGTGAGTCATGGAACATCTTGAGGACTGGAGCAAGTGGGGGTACTTCCCTGTCCAGTTTAGAGCAGATAGTACCAGGAAGCTTACCCTCTGTTTTGGTTAGAAGCTTGGTTCCAAAAAGATATAACACTGGGCTCTAAAGCATTGATATTTGGGGTTGAGCTGCTAGAAGGTGGATGGGATCACCTGGGGAATTGTTGAAACTCTTGGGCCCTGCCTCAGACCTCTACTGCATTCGGAACTGCCTTTAACAAGATCTGCAGGTGACTTGTATGCCCACCCTAACGTATAGAAACACTGCCCGCATCCTAATGCCAGAACAAAGGGGGAGGACAAATATCTTAGGAGAGTTCTTAAATAAATTTAGTTTAGTGTAGTTCCTGCTCTGTGGTTATTTTTCTCATTTCTTCAGCTGCTACCCATGAGGACTTGGATCAATGTTAGGTGATCCTTTGCCCCCATGTCCTATTGTAGTTGTCTTCTGAATAACGTAGTGTCTCTTGTGGGCATCTACCTGTGTGCTGCACTAGGCCCAGAAATACTGGGTGCTACTTTGGTGATTGAATGTTCTAACTCTGTAGTTACCCTCTAGGGCAGAGTTCTCAAGCTGGGGCAATAATACCTATCCCCGTCCTGGGGGTGGCCTTCTGATTATCACTGTTAGAGTTGCTATTTGCATTAGTTCCTAGAGGTCAGATATGTCAAACAGCCCGCCACGTGGGGATAATATCACAAACACAGGAAGTGCTATAGAAATAGGTACAGGTGATCACTGGTACTTCAGCAGCAGATAGGTGATGGCGCCAGCCTGCTGTGTGAATGCTAGGAGGTCCCAGTCAATTTGATTGAGATAAAGGGAGACCACATAACTAGACAGAGCAAGGGTAGAGGAGAGTAGTAGATGATAGCGGCCTAGTGAAGGGCCAGATAACAACCCACCAACGGAGGCTGGGGTAGATGCACCGAGACACTAGAAAGGGGAAATTTGGACACACATGGGGAAGCCACTAGGTTATTGTGCCAGAGTGCTTGGTCTTTCCATTCACATAGAATGGCTAAAGGGGAGAGGTTAAAATTCAGGTGAGAATAGTCTAGGGTTCTTTTTAATAATGTCATCGAAACTTGAAAAATTGTGTGACCATGCATATGTTGTTTTGAACGGTTAGGTAGAAAATATCCCAAGAACTTTATGCCAGATTACTATTTTAATTTATAGATTTTTCAAGGCAGGGGAAAGGAGAGAGAAAAACATCTATTTTTTGTTTCACTTATTTATGCATTCATTGCAAGATTCTTGTATATTCCCTGACCAAGGATTGAACCTGCAATCTTGGTGTATTGAGATGACACTAACCAACTGAGCTACCTGGCCAGGGTGCCAAATAACTTTAATTGAAAGTCATACATGATAGACAGGACTAAGGACAATAGGTTCTCTCCCCCATTGGAAACACTAGTTAGCAAACAGCTAATTTATCTTCTAGGCTTTTTTTTTTTCCTTTTTTTTTTCCCTCACATAATTGAGGAAACTAGCTATAATTTTAGTTTGCTTTTTTTCCTTTTATGTTATGGTACAGTAGCTTCGTAATATGCCGTCTAGATGTGTAGGACATAGAGCCTTATCTATGTGACCAGCACTGAAGGTCAGGAATGTCCGTTCCATAGAACTGCCCCAGGAGAGAGGTGTGTGTGTGTGTGTGTGTGTGTGTGTAAAATATATTTTTGAAAAATACATTTTTATTGATTTCATAAAGGGAGCGAGAGATAGGAACATGAGTGATGAGAAAGAATTCACTGATTGGCTGCCTCCTGCATGCCCCCCACTGGGGACCTGAGCCCCCAACCCGGGCATGTGTCCTTGACTGGAATCGAACCTGGGACCCTTCAGGCTGCAGGCTGATGCTCTATCCATGGAGCCAAACCAGCTAGGGCAAGGCTCTCTTTTTGTCCTGTTGTCCTGGCCCTCTGTCCAGTATCTATAAAATCCTCGCATAGTCTCTTCAAGCTGTAAGTTGAAAGAATGCTAAGCTGGAACCGCCACAATTGTTCTCACTTCTGTGCTTCCTCTGTTAGAATGGTGACAAGGAAGTTAACAAAGCAAATTGCAGCTTTCCTGGTTCTCCAGAGCAGGCTGGACTGTTGGATTTTGTATATAACCCTTTTTCCTGCAGTTTAACCACCTGCTGGTCCCAACCTGTCAAACTCCACACTCCACACATGCTGAGGTGCTTCAGCCAACGGTGGGTAAAGACCACAACGTGTAGGCTGCCAGAGGTCTGAGTCCTGAAGGGTTAAGGCCCAGGCTTCCTAGGTGAATGGTGAGGTTGGGGCCCAGAAACTACTCACAAATAGTTTAAGCTGCCAGCCACTAGGGACCTAATTGGTGCCTGGGGGTACAGAACCACTTTCAGAGCAGCTTGTTATGGAAACCAGTTTGTGGTTGTCAAAGGGGAATCCAACCTAAGGCACCTGGGGGCACCGGGAGGACTTGAACTTGACTATGTTCAAGATGCAGGTACGGGAAAGCTTAGGACACAAATACAGATGGTTCTTTTTCACAGGTTTGAACAAAAAGGAGTTGTCGTGATTGTACCAATTGAGGAACTTAAGTAACTTGCTTTTAAGATGTGTAATTATATTTGTCACTTGATTTTATTTGCTCTGTTATAAATGTCCCTTACCTAGTCTGGAAGTAGCTGGAAAGGCAAAAGCATTCAGCAACTTAAGCAGAAATGATGTTCTAGACTCCCTCAGTGACCTGGTGAACATGTGCTTTGACAAGTCTTTCAAACCTTTAACACCATGTTGGCCGTCTAGAAGTATTTTCCTATAGGGTATTTCTGTTTTTTTGCTTTTAAAGATTGGTTCTGCTCAAACATATGGTATATCATAGTGGATAAGATTGCAGCGTTTGAAATTTAGGCTTCTCAAATCCCTTATAGGTCCCTGGCAGGTAGGATTGGCTTATATTTTATGAAGACTTCCACTAGCTGCCATCTGGCCCTTCTTCCAACTCTGATTTTAGGAAGTAGTTGCACAGTGGTGGTTACTCCCAGGGGACAGGTATACTCTCCTAGGTGGTGTTTGGAACTCTTTCGTGGCGTACAGTTTTTATGGCTATGACGTGTTAAAATGATGACACTGAAAGGCATAGAGAAGGAAATGAATCGCCCAAAGTCATAGGAGTGGTGGTGGAGCCAGTCTTCAAACCGAGCTAGTCAGATTATAGCATCTCCAGACCTGCTGGCTTCTTTAGGTTTGTAGCTCTTAAGTAATGAGACTAAACCACACATCTGTTCTTGAAATAAGTTACTGATCTACAAAATGCTGTTTTATCATTTTAACTGATACTCCCCAAGTCCCGAAGGAGGACTGGCAATCATAGAAATGGAGCT